TGGAGAGAGACTTGTAAGTATAGTTGGGAAGGCAGGGGGAGAGCAAAAGCACAATCCTCAAATATTTCTTTATGCAAGAGAACAGGCAGTGGCCGATATTGCTTGATAGTTTGTCTTCAGACCTGTTCTCTGTTAATGAATCACATGAAAACTTTGAAATCAAATTAATTGCTTTCTAATGCCAGCCTATGTAAAGCTGAAAAATACATGGCAGTCTGTTTAATGTTGGTCACCCTTGGACAGTGTGTGTGTAACAAATGTGCCTAGCTTGCAGCTACCTTCCAAATTTCTCTGGCCTGCCTTCCCACATTCTCTGGCTGGCAGCTGGCTTCTGGCTCTCTCTGTCCTTGAGGTGGAGGAGAGAGATGGGAAAAGGCTGGTGGCTGGAGGAATTGTTCTGCCAACCTGTTATTGCCTTTATGTGTGACTGGTAGTACCTCTGGTGGGTTACCCCATGCAAGTGACCCTTGTCATATGATGGATGCATGTCCAGCCTTGGAACAGGGGCTTGCATTCTCCTTGGGTCATGGAGAGGGACCTGTGTGTGTGCCCTGCTGTATGAGTGGAAACACACCCATCTCATCACCAGTTTCTGATTCTTCTCTTGTCATTTGCATGGTGTGAACTCATGTGTCCATGATGAAGTGACTAACTTTTTGATAACGTGATTGGACAATGTTTTGGTTATCTGCTGGAGGAGAGGAGAAAGGAAGACCCAGCACACAGTGTTTGGGTGCCTCTATGAGAATCTATTTGGCCTACCCTGACACAAAATTGAGGTAGTTCTGTACTAAGTATGTTTGTTTATTAAGTGTGACTTCTAATTACAATATTAAACCCTGTAAACAATAATAGTGCTATGATTTGTTATGATTAGCACTCTTTAACACAGCACTTGCTTTGGGCTAAAAATTTACAATGTTCTTGAAAAATTCCATCTGTGTGTTTTCAGCCTTCATTAAAGAAAATAGCTCCAAAGACTTTAAAACAATTAAAATCTTGCAGTGTTGTCTGTTTATAATCATTGAAGTAAAGAGAACCATAAACTGTTTTAACAGTGAAATGCAAAATAAATCTTAGCTTTTCTCCTTGTAGAAGAAATGTAGCTGAAAATAAGATTAAAATGGCATTTTAGCTAATTCTGTGAAGTGGCACTTAAGCTTTGAACTGTATGAGCTCGTTTAAGTGGACAGAGAGAGCCTGTGGTGTGACTTCCCTTTTGTGTCAGTTAGTAACCTGTATTGACGGAGCATTTTATGGATCTTTCAATTTGGTAGTTTCTACTCATTTCTGCAGGCAAATGATTTCTCTGGGGGAGGGTGCAAAGAAATTTAGCATCATGAGAATTAAGAAATAGAGCAACAAGTAGTGGTATTCAAGCTATCAGGCAGTCTAACACAAGCTTAAGAAAAGTTAAGATGTGATAAATAGGTTTCCACAGTTTATTTCTCATGGTTTTTTAAGTGTTTGTTTATTTTAGTGTTTTCATTGGGAACAGCGGAGTGTCTGCAATGTGTGATACTAAATTAGCTACTCAGTTTGTTAGGATGAATTTATGGAAATGTGTAATTGATTAGTTAAAATGCTTTTAAATTAGAAATGTGCACAGAGGGATTTTCTTTTTGGAGTTGATCTTTTATTCCTTTTTAAATTCCTTAATGGATCAATTACTGAAGCATGAAACACATCTACACTCAAGTGCTTGTGACTAGTAGTTTCATTTTCTGTATAATATTAACCTAGCAGAGGAGAGATCAAGCTGTGGATCATCCTGGAGAAGGAAGAGCAAGTAGGTGACCAGACTTGTAGTGAAAAATGGGTAAATTTTGCTGCTTCTGTTTGAAGTTCACTGAGTGAAGCTTGGATCTGTCATACTGAAGTCCCAAATTCTGTTCTCATTCCAAGGTAAATCACTTTGTGCAATGTCTGAGGAACATTCCTTTATGTTAAGCCAGTGATATAAAGCTTTCTTTAACAGCAGAGACTGCTCCTTCCATATTCGTCCATAGTGTGGAAGTACAGGTGGTGCAGAGATGATCGTAACTTAGATAACTTGCTGGCTTCTTGTCCAGAGGAGCTTAGGATGTTACTCATCTTGTGCATCTGGCACATCTTGGATGGATTTACAGGACTAGATCAGAACATGGCTTGAGCAAGATATGTAACATTCTGTGTAATTGTGAGTAGATAAGAAAAATCTATGATATAGTAAAGTATATTTTCAGGTAAACTGATTCTTTAGCGTCCTGTTGAAGATCATGCGTATGTCAGGTCTGTCTTCATATTTTGGGGTTGTGATGAATCAAGCCATATGGTTTTTCTGGACATATGGAAGTAATATTGTTCCATGATGAGTACAATGCTTTCTGACTGTGGATGCCTAACCTCTGAGAACTAGTTTTATCATCTCATGGGAGAGGGAAGCCATCCCAGTGGTGTCTTCTCTGTAACTGCTGCTATTTAGAAACAACAAACTTGTCAGGATCTTGCGCATGCCTGCTCTGTTTCTGTCTCTCTCCTTTGCCTGTCTCTTCCAACTCTATGTGTACTGAAAATAAATGCAGCATCTACTAATGCCCTGTCCCTCCGTGGCTGAGAATTCTCTATTATTTCTGCTTTAGAAGTCCAAGTTTTTTTGGAAAACAACAAATTCTGACAGCAGTGTAGTTAGTCCTCAAATTTCTGTATTTACAGTGTTTTTTAATCTGGAAGTGGTAATTCTTGCTTATGATAGTCAACTGGGTTTCTCCTCCCCACATACTCCTTAATTATCTGAATATTTGTATTTGAATAAAGATTTGAGAGTGAAAACCTGAGATTCTGAGATCTGAGAATTCTCACTTGGGTTTTGAGCTTAGCTTTCCCAAGTAAAGAAGCCCACTGAGTTTAAATGAAGACTTCTGAAGCCAAATTCTGTGATTAATTAGTGTCCAAATGTTACTTTGCAGGCATTGCTCCTGATTTATAAATATGACTAATTCCTCTAAATTTTTGCATATTGGTGCCTAGATAGAACTTTGAAGCTGCTATATAATTTTTGAAATAAATATGTAGAAGTATGAAGGAACAAATATTTCGTCAGGCTGTCCCTCTTGGAGTGAAACGTTGGTCTGTACTGAAAAATCCTGTTAGGTTTCATTGAGAGAAAAATGTTGATGGTTTTTGTTTTTGCTCTCAGTAGTAAAAATATTGGGGTTTTTTGACCCGTTTTGTAGTTGGTCAGCATCTTTGGATTCTCTTAAGTCCTCATCTGGCAGCTTGATTGGCAATTCCAGTCACTGGAATTTATGAAGATGTGTACTTTTTCCATGGGTTAGGACAGAATCTTTCTGGAGGTGCCTGTTGTATGGCAGAGAGGCTGTTGGGGGTGTGTCTGGAGGATTCATTAATAGACGTTAAGTGCCTTTCCTTCTGTCCTTTTAAAGAAAGAATGCCACAGAACTGAGTGAGGGTCTCCCCCATTCGGAACTTCATTGGAAAATATAATGGGGAAGATTCTCTGTCATATGAGGAGGGGGAACAATATCATTCTTCAAAACTCTAAAGTGCTTTAAAAATGTATGTTTTTGCCACACTTTGTGAAGACAGAAATCTAAACAACTAAATAATAATCTGATAAATTATTTATAAAGACAATGTCTTTGTAGTAGCTATGCTAGTGTTCTCAAACGGTTACTTTTGACTTGTTTTCTTGCAGCCTGTAATATAAAGTGTGATATGTTTCTGTTTTATGAAAAAAAGCAGGCAATTAAGTTTTTAATTTAGGAAATCTGCAGTAAATATTAATGTAAACTTTTGCATGCAAACATTTGAGAACTTAGCTGGCTGTTTGATATTTCTGTGTTAAAATGAAATATCTCATCTGATTGAAAAAGTTAGAGGATTAAAATAGTACTATCCATGTCTATTTGCATCTACATAGAGTGAGCCAAAGTGTGTATGTGTAGCTATCTATCTATATCTATCTATATATATATGTGTGTGTGTCTGTCGGGGGTGGGCAGGCACTGTGTGAGGGTGTTTTTTTACTTATGTTTGCTTGCTCTTATTCAATGAGCAGTTATTATCTGTATTATCACTCTGTACAGGTGAGATATTTAAGTTAACAAGCAGGATTTTCTGGTTGTATTTCTGCTTGTCTGTTTTCAGGATAGTTGTATCTTGACTGGTAACTGTAAGAAAATTTTAAAGTTGGCTATTCCCATTGTTTTTGTTAATGAAGAAAACATACTGCTAGAGGAGTTACACTCCCTCAGGTTCTCGGACACTGCATTGTTTTTATCTTGTGGAATGGATATTGGCCATATTAAAAGAATCGTGGTAACTTTCATGGAATGCTTTGTTTCTACACACTATATAAATCTATCATCTGTGTAAGAATGAAGAATTACAGTGCAGGTTAGAGCCTTACTTTGTGATCCTACAAGTGCACGTGTGCTTAATTTTAAGTACATTGTTGAGTTTGACTCTTTTGATATGGTTATTGTGCCTGCCTAGTTGTTTTCAAAATTAAGGCTTTGGATGTGAATCTTTAGTCAATCAGGGAGTTCAGAGGCAATGTGAGAACACTTGAAAATACTGTAACCAGTAAGTGACCTATATTAGGAGCTGGGTAATTGTTACTGCTCAAATAATGAATTACTCAACCATCTCTGAAACCTGAACTTCTGAAATAACATGGCAGAAATACATGAATAAAGGCTATATTGATGTTTTAGCTTTATCTCTTACTTTACGTGATGGAAAGTAATTGTTACAGTACTGCAATTTATTAGGACTTACATAGCATAATTAAGTGAGCAAGAATCAAATGTCACCATAGGATTTGCTGTGCTCAGCATAAGTAGATAGGGAACAAATGTATCCCATTTAGACTCTGAAATGAGTGTTAACTATGCTGGGTGTAGGACTGAAAATAATTTTCTTTGTTTTTTCAGAGTAGTATCAGGACAACTCATTACAGCATTATTTTATCTTTTTTTTTTTTTTTTCTTTATTAGATGTTGAAACATTTATTTCCCGAGTGCTAAAAGGAGAAAATCTATCCAAGAAAGCAAAAGAAAGAAGGGAACTTCTTCTTAAGAAGATAGAGGATGCTAAGGCAAGGTAAGTAGCTTCATGGTTTTAATATGTTACAAAGTCACTTAGTGATAATTTTTAAAATAATCTTTTAATAAACATTAACAATACTAACAATTAAAAATATCTAAGTCCTGATTTTGTCAAATAATCTTTCTTGAAACTGCTACAATTTTGTAAGGAATAGGATCAGGATGATTTGTCCCATTTGAATTGCTTAATATTCTGAACCTTGATTGCAAGCTCTTTGGGTAGAGCTTGCATTCACTTCAGCTTTCCTAAGATTCATTAAAATATGAGAAATACAACGCCTTGAGAACGTGAATGAGCTTCCAAACAGCATATTTGGCTGGTGTAAAACAGCATAATTCAATGCTGACTTTGCTTTACTATACATTCTGTTGTTTAGCTCTGTAATAGAAAATTGATACATAACTGAAAACTATTTATAGATCATCAGCTTGTTTCATCAGTGTTAAAATAGTGAAGTATTATGACAGTCAAAGCAGAGGGCTGCGGGTATCTTATTTGTTTTAGTGTCAAGGATGATTTGAGACTGTTCTACGGAGTCTTAATTTCTGTCAGCAATTCAGTAAGAATATTTAGCTATAGTTTCATTTGCACTACAGAATTTTCTTTGGAAAATCTCTTACAACTCTTATCAACCAGGATGTAGTTTAGTACTTGCTGTTCTTTTCACATTGTTTCTAAAGTGCTATTGTTTCCGAAGTGTTTTTCTACTGATCACTCCTGTGTGATATCCCCTAATCGTTCTTTGAAGACATTCTTCTGCCCCAAGGCAACTTGTTTACAATTGCAAAGACGGGCACAATCATCTGGTGAGGGCATCATTCTTTGCATGGCCCTGACTGTAGGGAGACATGAGATGTGTCCCAAATTCTTGTAATTGAAGGCCTGTGTGCTGTTCATTCAGGCTGTAAAAGCTTAGGGAACTAGTTCTCTCCTCTAAGGAACCAGTGTCTTATTTATTTGTGCTTTCCTGTGTGGATTATTGAGTTAATTGGCCCTTTATAGAGACTTGCAGATACAGCACTACTGACTTCTTTCTTCCATCTTAGGACTGAACTATGGTTTTTTGGGTGGTGAAATACTAAAGGGAGGGAACCTGCAGTTACGAGCACAGTTGACACTGAATCCTTTGCTTTTCACTTTTGTGACTCTAATTTCTAATTCGTTCCTCATCTCCTGTAATACTGTTCACTGTTAACAGTGTTTTGGTTTTCATGCAGGCTACAAAATATGTACACCATCTAGTCATCTTTGATTTTCGCATCCCACATGTTGGGCTGTGTCTATTACTGCCACTTGCTACGCTCTATTTCTTAGATCTGGCCTTTTATCTCTGTTGGCATTTCTCAATTTCTTGTCCCTAGACCCATCATTTCTCTTCTTCTTTTTACTTGCAAGAATCTTCTTATTGACCAATCTGATACGTGCACTATTGCTTATTGTCCATAAAGATGATCTTAACAGCTGATTTTATTTGTCACTTAGTTCTGATGAAATCCTCCTCTTTTCACGTAAACTCTAGTCCATGAATGCTTCTTGAATGCCATTTTACATAACTCTGTCCTTATTATTTCTATATCATCAAACTGTATCCTATGATTATTTTTGTTTCTGAAATAACAAGTTTTAGCTCTGAAGAAACAGTACATTTTCCCTCTGGGATGCTAGAGATTTTTTTTAGGCATTAAGTTTAGATCTCCTTATTTGAAAAGGATTTTTTATTTAGGCTTTTAATTCTTGTTGTTAATTATTAATACATTTTCATTTAGATTTCTGCAAATTTACTGCAGCTAAAACAACTATTTGTGTTTTTTTTTTCCTTTTCCTGCTGACCCGTATTTTAAAATATGCTCATTGACTTTTACCTGTGCATGAAAAGTTTTGAAACATTTTAACGTTTAGAAGGTTTTCTAAAATTAAAGGTGCTTTTGTATGTTTATACCTTAAGATGTCTGAGTTTGGTTTTGTTCAAGTCTTCATTAAAATGTCTGGGATTCTCTCAGCTGCAAAGGGAAAGGAAAAACTGAGTGAATACTTTAAGCCAAAGATAAAGGCTTCAGAATTTTAAAGGAAAACCTGCTGCGCTAAATTTCAACCATGCAACTTGTTGAAAAGTAATTATTGTTGTGTGCCATGTCCTGGCACCGTAGGGCTTGCAAGTGTGCACTGCTTTATGATTTTTCTTCTCCTTCTCCTCCCTACAGTTACTCTTGGGAGTTCCCGGAGGAAGGTGAGTCTCGTGCCCGTGTCCCTGTCCCTTTCCCTGTCCGGCGCTTTCCCGGTGCCGCTCGCCGCCCGAGGCCGAGGGCGCTGGCTCCCCCTGCCGCGGGAAGCGGGGAACGGCCGCCCGGCACTCCCGGAACCCTCGCTCCAGAGCTGGGTCCCCTTCCCGTCAGCTACTCGCATCGGAGAGCTCTTGCTGATGGAAAGACTAGTTTAGAAATATGGTTGAGGATTTAATACATGATGGATCTTGTTGCGTAGGTTATTTGTTATCAATTTAATATAAGCGGAGCTTTATTAGCAGTAGTGTAGCCTTGTGAAAGACCATGTGATGCAGGGTTTTTTTTTCTTTTTTCCCCGGAGGAAGTGTATGCTAAGTAGCCTGCTTAGGAGATAAAATTTTAAGAGGGATAACTTATTTCAGCCTTTTTTCTTAACGTTGCAAAAGTCTTCAATTCCATAGTGATGTTTCTTTAACCTTTTAATAGGATCATCTAGTGGCAATATGATATTGGCTTTCGATCCACACTGAATGAATGTTTTCATAGTGCAGCGGGTGCTCAGACCTTTAGCTGGAGAGGAGATGATTTAGTGTGCGAGTAATGAAAACTGAAGTGTGGGTTATCTATTGTCTTCCAGTGGAGTTAAAACAAAGCTGCAGAGTTCAGTTTAGAGAAGACCGAGGGTTTGTTGCTACAGTGTTCTGTTCTGTAACTAAACCTGGAAGGGCTCTTATTTCCATGATGCTAATTCTTGAGGTCATGACCTATAGCCTGTGGATGCTGGTATGAGGGTCACAGTGTGAGGTCAAAAAAGCCTATGCAAAGCTTCACTTTTTGCAGTGGTTGAAGTGTCTGTTTCTGGACAAGGAGGTTCAAATGTGTAGGCTACAGTGTGCCTCCTGATAAAGTGCAAATATGTAAGTCGTAATAGGCAAGTAATGTTATAACAAGGCACAACAAGCTCATACATTTCTTATGCCTGTTTAAATCAAGTTATGCAGCCATAACAGTTCAGCTGAAAGGAAAAATGCAACTTGAAACTTCCCAAGATTGCCAAAGTTTTATAAGTTCAAACTATGTGATTGTTTAAAAATTCTGTTAAAAATAATTTGCTAATTTTTTTTTATATTGTACAATGGCACCCTTACAGAGGAGGAAATGTAGTTTCCCTCCTCTCCTCATTGTCTAGGTGTGGGAAAGTGTTACTTTATTTAGGAAATTGCTAACATGAAATTAGGTGGGATGGTTGTTTCACCGCAAATGTATCTGACCTTGGGAGAGCATGTGTTTGAAGTTTGATAACTTTCTGAGGCTCTGACTCTCTAATGAGCATGAGAGTTGTCTATGAAGAGTAAAGTTTGTGTTCACTGATTTGCTTTATTTGAAGGTCAAGAAGATTCTAGTCTATTTACTTTCTTCAGAATTTCAGAATCAAAGTCAGAATTTCTTTTCCAATTCAACAAATTATTAATAAAAATTAGATTTAATTATATTCTGCAAAATGGGTGGTTTAATTTTTATAGTCTGTTATTGTTACTGCATAACTTGCCCTGATTTCTGTGAAATTTATATTCAGTCTTATTCTTTTTATTAGAGTACATTTGATTCTTAAGGAGGATGTATTGCTTTTTTGAAAAATTCTTGTGGTGTGTCTCTAGTTCACATCATAGAACTATGTACAGATGGTGAAGCTTGCCAATGCCGACACTTTAGTTTTCTTTTGGTATTTATCAATAAAATCAAGTTGTGTCATTGTTTTCTGCAAGCAAGGATAAATTTCTCCAAATTCATGTGCATTTGCATGCATGAATGTAAACAAAAAAAAAAAAAGAGACATCGGAGCCTACACTTAGTTGCAAAATATTTGAGGGAATGCAATTCAGTGGTATGAGTTGTTGGTATAATTTACAGAGTTCAAGAAGTGTTGCTTAACTTTGTTTGGTTGTGTCATTCTTTAGGCCTGTACAAATTAGGTGTGACTTGTGTAGGTGTAGAACAAAGGACCCGCGTGGAGGTAGGCAGTCAGATTCTTGGCCAGCTCCTAGTGCAACAGAGCAGCAGCAGCAGCTGAGTGAGGTCAACTATTGTGCCCATTCATATTGCTGTGCACACCTAGACATTTGAAAAATGGAAAATTTGGAAAAGATTGAAAACTGAGAAGGCAGTGATGGTGAGTTCTACCTTCCTCCAGAAAAAGAAGAAATATCTTGAAATATAAGGTGAGAAAAGAGAATATCTTTTAGGGGAAAAAGGAGGGATGGAATCAGATTTGTGGAAACTGTGCTGAAACAAACTATAAAAAATAGAAACGATTATGTATATTTCAGCTTCATATTTGCTGTTCTTGGTTTTGCAGTAGCAGTTACTCCATTTTTTAAATGCAAATAAAATAATCTTTGTTGAAGCTGAAAGTAAAGGTGAAGAATGGTTCATACTATGTGCCATATAACTGTGGTGTAGTAATTATCATACTACATCAGTTGTTTTCAAGAATCTTCTGAGTTGTGACCTGTCATCCTTCCAGAGGCATCCAGAAGAATCTGGAAGGCTGAAAGAAGCGGACTAACACTTTCAAAATTCATATATTTCCTGTATGACATAATGAAACATGACTCTGGTCTCTCAAACATGGCTCCTTCAGTTTGTGAGTTGTTCCACAAGTATGGGTTGCGGGCATACTTGTCACTCCACTCTCTTTCATCACTGAATGTTCTCGTAGTTCCACTGGCGTTGTATGTAGTTATTAGTAAGTTTGACCAAGCTCTTATATGTGGACTTTTGTTTTATGGCTTTGGCCAATAGCATACAGAGTCCTGCCTTTCATAAGAATAAAGCAAGAAGGTTTAAAATAATAATAGTAGTAGTAGTAATAATAATAATATTGAAGAACATGTGTTCAAGTAGAACCAAGCACCTTAAAACCAAAATCATCCATATGTGTAGCTCTCAGAAAGTACATACATACTTCTTTGCAACAAGATTGATGAATTTGAGGACTTTCTTGCATCCTCTTCAAAAGAAACCTTCTGATGTTGTCAGGTCGGTAAATATGCTCACAAAAGCATCTTTTGTCCCTACAGACTGAAAAAACCCCTAGCTTTCTGGGAGAAGTGAGTACACATGAAAATGAAAGACACAAACTTAATTGTATGGGAAAATGTATAATTCTCGAGTGTGATGTGTTATCTGGTTTTACACTGTGACTTTTACAGTTAGGTCTATTGTTGATTTGTGGACAAAGAAAGTCCATATTCTTATGACAAAAAAGGTACAATTACATTAATATCCAAACCACTAGTCTTTCCTCAAATTTTATTTTTATTGTTATTAAAAATTATATCTATTTTATTCTTAAATTGAGGAACTCTGTAGAAATCTCTTTTTCTCTTAGACACTGCTGCCTTTTTTCCTGTTAATTTGAAATATTTGACTCTTTATCTAAACATTTAAGGCAAAGCCAAACACTCAGTGACCCATTCTAGATCTTAGAATTTGGAAAGAAATTAAAAACTAAGGTTATTTGCGTACAAATTAGATTAGTTTTTTTTATAAGACTAATATTCCACTAAGGATATAAAAGTCTGGACTTCTTCAAAGATTCTGACTTAATACAGTTTTTGACGTTTCTCTGTTTTGAGATTAATTGAATCAATACTGTAACTGCCAAAATGTTTAGTTAACAGAACCTTGTTTTCAATTTATGCTAAAAATAGTGCTAAAGTTGGCAGAAGCACTGTAAGCTCTAGAAACTGTATTTGTGTTTGAAATTCACTTGCCATCTGTTCTTTGCATTTATTTTAGTAAAATATATATTTTTAATCACTTCTTACAAAATATTTTGGCTCAGTGTTAAAAGTCAGACACCAGAAGTACTAGCCAAATAGAGTCATAATATGGGAATTTGCAGAAAAAGTTCCCCATAAAGCTCTCAGTGCACCTTATATCTGATCTGCAGCACTATTTATGCAGAAAAGTATGATATGACATTTTCTAACTAGCACTTTTCACTCTGATAAAAACTGATGAAGGTCCACTTTAGTTTTCATTTCACTGTAGTATAATAGCAGGTAAATCTGTGTCTAGAGAATTGGTGTTATTCTCTATGTAATTATTGGGAGCACCTGTGGGAAACCTTTAAATGAAACTGATGCCTCTGGCTCTTGGCAGAGCAGAGAGTGTCTGGAGCCTGAGACATCTGCTTCCTGGAAATAGTCAAGCTGATAGAGTAGCACTATATGCAAAGGTTTTATATTTTATTTTTTTTTTTCTTTTCTGTTTTCCTTTTTTTTTTTTTTTTCTCCCCTCTGTACACTCTTTGTCAGGAAATGGCAGCAGGTAGGAGTCTTTTGGACTTGAGAAAGGGAGTCAGTATCTTGTGGTCACCAGAGCTTTATGTGGATATGGGTTCTATATTTTAACACACTTGAACTTTCAGTCAGGATCATAAATACATTGTTAGTATTTAACCATAAATGGGAAAGATATGGCTTAGCTGTTACCCAGTTCTTTGGGGATCATTGTGATGTATTTCTGGAGAGACAATCAAATGTATTAAAAGTGTGCCAAATATCACTCTGTCCTGGAAGTCTGGAAGGTTTCACTGTAGGCGAGTACTGTGTTGTCCCTTTCAGCTACATGCAGCTGTTATCTGTGAAGTGTCCATGCCAAGCGCAATTTCAAGCAACACAAGATACAGCCACCAGTGCAGCACAAAATGGTCTTGTCCTGATATGCATCATAATAATGAGAGGCAGCTCAGGAAGTAAAAATTAGGTTGCTTTTCTTGCTTGAAGCATATTTGCTTGCAAACTTAATGCTGTTTAAGTATTTGTTTTAAGAAATAACTCTTAAAGAGTTTCTACTTGACCTCTACAAAACAAGCCATTAAAAACCATTATGTTGATAAGGGACTCTAGAAGGCTCTTCAGGAATGAGTGTGTTGGAGCGGATTGCATGGCAAAGCATGCATTGAGAAAGTGACTGTCAGAACTGAGTCCAATCTTGC